GCGTTGGTTTTCTCCTCCCCCCCCCCCCCCACCCCGGCACTGCTCTCATTGACTCCCGCCCCGCCCCTCTTCGCCTTGCGGCTCTTCCGGCGCGCAACCTCTCGCCTCCTCACCCTCCCAGCTCTGACTCCAGCTCGTAGTACTCGGCCAAGGTGTCTCGGTTAGAGCCGTCGATCCAGTAGTCGGGGGCAGTGGAGCCAGCAGGAGCAGCACCCGGAGCCCTACCCGAGGCAGCAGACGACGAAGACGAGGAGGAGGAGGGCATGGTGACTTTCAGCATGCTGCGGTTGGAGACAGCAACGGCGGCGGCGTGTCCGTCGGGCTGAGGAGAAAGGAGAGCGCCAAAGCGGCTTGCGGATGGCTCGGCGCTTCCACCCCTGCCTCCGGCTCCGAGCGGGGCTCTCGGCGGCTGCCTGGGGAGCCGGAGCTGCCAGCCAAACTTCCAGCCGGGCGCAGCAGCGGCAGCCGGCAGAGCCGCTCGGACTGACTGAAGGCGAAAGGGGCGGGAGGTGGCGGCAGGAGGAGCGCGCGCTCTCGGCTCACGCACGTGCGCGCACCAGAGAGTGGGGGGCGTCGCCTCGGAGGGGAGGAAAGACCCCTGCCTCAGGCAGCAGGAGGAGAGCCGGTCTGTCTGGCCAGGGTTGCAGCCGGAGTGAAGGCGGCGGGGCGTGTGCGCGCGCGCACCCGCCCGCCTGCCCATGTACCGAGGGGGACGGTGGAAAGAAGGGAAGTAACCAAACGCCTTGGCTTCAGAGGTGCCTTTCGCGCACTGAGTGGGTTGTTACTGCTGCCATCGCAACCCACCAAGGCAAGGCAGCGCCTGGCAGCAGTCCCGGGCTCAAATCAGCACTGCCCTCCTCCCTGCCACCCAGCCGGAGCGCGCGGGCGGTGTGTATGTGAGGTACATGCGGGAGGACTGGGGCTCCGTTGGCGGCGCTCAGTCTGCCGTCCCGCGGGGTCCTAAACTGCCCTGGATTCTTCGAAGAAGGCTCACCTTCAAAGCTTACACGGTCGCTACATATCCTTGCAAGCACACATTTGTTATAGTCTCAGTTTCCGTTTTTAGGTGTATACTTAAAACATAAGACCATATGAAGAGCCTGCTGCATCAGATCACTAGTCTATCTAATCCTGCATCCTGTTTCAAACGGTAGCCACCAGTGGCTCTGGAGGTCCAGCAAACAGGGCATAGAAGTCAGCTGCTGGTATCCAAAGGTTTACTGCCCCTGAATGTGGAGGTTTCCTTTAGCCATCATAGCTAATAGAGCCTGATGGACTTATCCCCCATGAATCTATCACCTGTCTGAATTCCTTTTCCTACTGAAATTTGCTTGGCAACAGTGAAGAGGAGAAGAGTGTGTGTTATGTTCTGAGACTGTAGTATAAGCTCCAGCACCGCAAGATGTGATTACCCAGGGCTTCTGTGTTCTTAGTAAGGACTTAGATGCCCTGAGAAACTACTGTTCCCAGGATTCTGGGCAGTCCCATGAAGAGGACCTTACAACAGCTCAACCTCAAGGTTAATGTAGCATGTCCCAGGTAAGCAGAATCAAGGTACAGGGGCCAATTTCTGTGCCAAATGCAGATTGCAAAACGTGCTTTTAGCCACTGTATTACCCTGCCTTTACATCAAAAGGAGCAGAATCTAGCAATACTACCAAACTCTTAATGGAAGTCTTACACAATTTTGTATTTATAGTCTGCCTTTCTCACTGAGACTCAAGGCAGATTATGCAATCAACAGGATGGGACATCCAAAAATAGGATTAGGATTGCAGAAATCTGAAACAAAGCATGAATATTAACATGTGATGTTAGTACAGAGATTACACAATAAGATAATGCATACATCAATGTATATTATGTACTATATACAGTAGTATAGTCTACAGTCCCTTTCACCTTATTAAGGCACCTTCCTGAACTATTTCATTATAATATATCCCTATTACCTTTGTAAAAATGCCCTCTTTAATAATTCAGCTTTGCAGAGTTTGCAGAACACCAGGGGAGTGGGAGCTTTCCTGACATCATCAGGCAGACCATTCCATGAGGTGGGGGGCACAATGGAGAATGCATGTGTACAGGGAGTCTTGCCCATTTGCAGGGTGTCACCTAGATCCTGGTAATAACTGAGCTGCTGCATTCTACACCAACTGGAATCTCTGAGCTGACATCAGGGGGAGACTTATGAAACGTGCATTACAGTATTCTAGTCTCAATGTTACTGTGACGCAGATGCAGGTAGCCAGATTGGCTAAGGTAGGGGCAGTATTCCAGGCTAAACGACATTGGCAGAAAGTTTTTGTTGCAGCTGCATTAACATGGTTCTCCAGCAGTAATGCTAGACCTAGTATAAGAAGAAGTATAACCCCTAAGCTCTTAACTGAGTCAGCAAGTGTCAGATGAATCCCATCAGAAGTGGGAAGCAAATGTCCTTCAAGACCTCCTCCTTCCAGCCAGTTTGGTGTAGTGGTTAAGAGTGGCAGACTCTAATCTGGAGAACCGGGTTTGATTCCCCACTCCTCCACATGCAGCCAGCTGGGTGACCTTGTAGCCCAGGGGCACTACCTTACTTTTGGGTAGACTCCGAGTGAAGGGCAGGGTATTAATCCAACTCTTCTTCTTTTTCCTAACCAGCATTACCTCTGTCTTGTTAGGATTTGGCTTCAATTTGTTCACTCTTAGCCAGTTAACCACAAAGGACAGGCTGTGATTCAGGACATCATCTACTGCATCACCAGGAGATTTGGACAGAGGCGGAGTGTCAAGCTCCCCCATCAGGGGGCTGGAGCCTGGGATTGGCTCGGCCTCCAGCCTCTTTTCCAGGCGTCAGCCTGGGAGAAGCCTTAGAAGTGTGACAGGAAGGGGGTTCGGCTTCACCTCAGTGCCCCAGTTGCCTTCCTCCTCTCCCCCTATACTCTGCCGTAACAACTTCACTCAAGTCAGCAGGGTGGAACCTGTAAATGAGCAAAACCAACAACTGCCTGTACATGGGCTCTCTCTTTTGTGGACTGGCCTGCCCAAGGAGGTCAGGAAAGCTCCCACTCTCCTGGCCTTCCATAAACAATGCAAAACAGAACTGTTGAAAAGGGCCTTTCTGCACAGGTAATAGCGTTCCACTGTGCAAAATGGCTTTACAAACTTGCTTGGATAAATGATTACGGACTGTGGTCTGTACTGCTGTGTTTAGCTTAATGTAAGTAGCATCCTATTTATGTAATTTCTGTACCATTTAGTGTGTCATGTTAATACTTACGCTATGTGGGTTTTCAAAACGAGACATTCAGAGGTGGTTTGCCATTGCCTGCCTCAGCATAGCAACCCCAGACTTCCTCCCAGCCAATGACTAACCAGGGCTGACCCCGTCTCTGGAGACATGAACTGAAGGGGTCCCACACACTGACAGGAGCACAGGAGTGGGAATCCAGCAGCCCTGGCTCCCTCCTCCCTGTTGCACAAACCCAGCTGCTACCTTAGTGGAGGATCTCACAACTGAGGCTAGCAAGCCAGGCCCACAAAATATTATGCCCCATGTCATGAAATACTCTCAGGGAAGTGAACCAAGGATATCTGCCCATGGGGACGGGGGCAGCAAGGATGGCAGCTCCCTTGCAAGAGTGGGAGACAGGATAGAACTGGAGTTTGGGGTGACTGGCAGCTGCCCCACTGTGCTCTATGGAACTGCTGGCCAGCCAACCTTGGCACCTTTTGGAGGCTCCCCTAGCAAATGGAGCCCCCCCCCCGGAGGTAGAGCTGCAGACCCTGCTGGGCCCCCACAGGCATGGCTGTAGCAGGCACAACTTCTGTGCTGTTTGCCAGGACTGGACATGTTTCCATTTGGCATCTGTGCAAGGAGGAGGAGATCTGGGAGGATGAGCAGGGCAGTTCTTGCCACTCTGCACAGTCCTGGGTCTAGTTCGGCACCTGAAGCATCCTGCCTCAGGCTACCCTCTGTCCAGCAAGTCCGCCCCACTCACAGGCATGCTGTGATAGGGATAGCTCAGCCTGTCTCCCCGTGCACCTTGGGAGCAGCTCACAAAGGCAGAGGAGCCATAATGGACAGAGAGGGTTGGCAACCCCATTCATTGGACCTCATTGCAATTTGCTGTTCAGTGAAGTATGGAGCATCATACAGCCCTGTCCCTGACCGATTCCCCACAAGCAGCTGTGCTGACCTCGCTTTTCCCATTCCCCGATTGTATTAGTTTCCCACTACTTGCTGTGCGGCCACATTTTTATCCACAGCATCCCCCGATTTCCCCCACGTCTTCTAGATCCTTGTTTTTTGAGATCAAGAAGATGAGGGGAAAATCAGGGGATGCTGCGAGTCAAAATGTAACCGCACAGCAAGTAGTGGAAATTTGACTAATACAATCAGGGGAAGGGAAGAGTGAGGGCAGTACAGCTGCTTGTGGGTAGATGAGACTTGCCCCACTCACACCCTGCCCCATCTCCCTCCCTCCCCCCCCATCTGTGACTGCCTCATAGGAATTCCTGGGATGACCTCCCCTTCATGTATCCAAAGAGCTGGGCTGTGACTCAGGGAAGCCCTTGCTGGGGTCATGGTTGTTGGTCTTTATGGTGCCTCTGGACTTCTGCTTCAATCAGCTGCAAGATATAACAGAGGTCTTGTGGCACCTTGAAGAATGGCTACACCTATTGGCCCCCATCCCCTTCCCAAATGCACACTCTGCTGTGTGCAACTTGTATGGGAATGGCCTGTGGCATGAGGGCATCTCTGGGTCCCAAACTCTCCCACAGCACTACTGGCATCTGATAAGCCATGAACCTTGGCAGTGCACATGCAAGGGGGCCAGGGTAAAAAGGGAACAAGGGAGCTGCTGCCAAAGGCCAGCCCTGCAAAAATAATGGATCTCCAGTGCAGCCCATCAGCTGAGCTGTCCTGTTTCCCCTGATGTAGTTTGGAGAGGCAAAATGTCAGGTTTTGCCTGCCACAGGCCTCCCACCTTGTGGGGACTGAACTCGAACACCTTGGTCATGACCCCCCCCCCAGTGCTTTCTGACTGAGTCATGCCTGTGTTTGCCAGCCCCTGTGTGGCTGGAAGTGACATCAGGGCTGCAGTGGAATACCTAGTGCCTGATGGCATACCTCCTTTCCACTGGCCTTCTTGGCCCACTGGTTAGGGCGCGGGGGCTATGGGCTTGAGCTTCTGCTTGGGGGGGTGTTTCCTTTTTTTGTTCGTTTTTGGGGGAAGGGTGTATGTGGTTTTGAGCAGGGATGGTTGTGTGCAGGCTGCACTTTTGCTGCCAGTCAGACCTTTTCCTTGGGGAGGTGTGGGCATCCTACCCACTATATGGGTGCTCTTCCCATATGGTGGGGGGGGGGGAGAGACACTCAGGCCTTTATTTATTTATTTATTTATTTATTTACTACCTTTATTTATTGATTTATTTAGATTTCTATCCTGCTCCCAGCAATCAGGGCTCGGGGTGGTTGAAGACATAAAT